TGGTGATGGAATAATTTGTAAAAGGATAGTGAGAATAGCAGCACAACTGGAAGAATGTAATAGAGGTCACTGAATTGTACATGTAGAAACTTTCAGAATGGTGTAACTTTGGCTATATATATTTTCACAAAAAAAAAAAAGTCCTCAAGGTCGAGAAGGGAGAGTGTTGACATGTCGTGGCGTTGTTAACCACTGTCATAAAACAATATGTGTACTGACTGTTTAATGAGAAACTACTTGTTCTGTAAACTTTCATCTAAAGTACAATAAAAAATTAAAAAAAAAAAAAAGATTCTGACCTCTGCCTCACAGGAATCAGCACTGGGCTGTTAATGCTGATTCTCCTTCACTTTGTGAAGTTAAAGGAGGTCAGACACCCCGCCATGCTATTTTTATAGGGACACAATGCTGGACAAGAGTACAGTGGCTGAATCTAAGCACTCTTAAAAGTTTTGCTATACTGATACCTCGTGAAGCTCAGAGCAAAAGAATAATCTTCTCTCAGTTAAATTTTATCAGAAGCCAGAAAAGGTGAAGCTGAGATAACCTGCAGAGAACCTAACCAGATCAGAAAAACCTACAACAGACTTGAGCGGTTACTACCTAAGTAGCCTGACCCTGAGGACTATCTGCCGTACTGAAAGACTCATTATTAACAATTAAGACTAGCAAAATGATTGGGAGGGGGAAGTTAGTCCTTCAAACATAAAAAGGGCAATGGCCAGAAGAACCAGAGAGTGGCCTGTGGTGCACTGAATTACTTAATATAGTCCGTCTAGCCACAGTCTTTGAAACGCTTACCAAATAAGTGGGTGGGACTACGCAAATGAGGTGCTTGTGGCCTACTAAGGGGATTGGATAGCTTGCTAATAACGTAAATGATATGCATGGCAACCCTGTGGATATGTGACTTTGCAAATAAGGTGTATGGAACCCTAACGAGGGGACTGTTCAGTTTTGCCATCCTGTTAGGGTTAAAATGAGTGACCCCACAGGCAGGAAACCACCAAGAAGAGACAGGAACAGTGTACATCCCTTGGACCTGGTATCCCTGTGCTGAGGACCTCTTCGACCCAAGAGACAGAGAGAAAAACTGTAACACCAGAGATGACGAGAGGCAGTGAGAAGCAGTGGTACTAGAACCAGGAGACCGGCAGGAAATTGGCAGGAGACAGGGCGATGGACCTCCCAACCTATGGAGTGAGAAAGCACCTTTGGGCAGGAGGCTTGCTGGTGGAGTAGGGTGCATCTGGGCACTTGATGAAGCTAGGTTTGCCCACCCATGGAGCTAGAAATTGAGCACCTTTGGGCTGAGGCTTACTGGCAGAGTCAGGTGCCTCTGGGCACTTACCAGCAGAGCTAAAAGAACTTTTTAACACTTGCCAGAGTAGAGGCCAGGCCTAGGGGCCAGAGCTACAGAGAGACCTGCCTGTGGGCACAGCTGAGAAGAGGCTGTCCTGACTGAAAAGCTATATCCTGAGTAGTCCTGAATGTGAAATATAATCTAGTACTTCCCTAATAAACCCCATAATCATGAGTATTGCCTGTAAGTTTTGTATGGTCATTGCAAAAATTTACTGAACCCAGCAGAGAAGTAGAGAGTGCCGTGGGAGGGATGGTTGGTGTCAGAATTGGTTAAAAAAAAAAAAAATGTTGGAGGGTAGAGGCATGTCTGATTTCCTTCTACCTTATAGGAACCCCTTGGGCAGTTAATCTTAATTCTCCTTTCCCCTTGTGAGGTTAGAGTGCATATGCCACCCCCACGCCATTTTTACAGTCTCCTTGCCAGAAGGATGAATAAATAACAAAACAGACATTCAGTCAGCAAAGTAGAAAGTGTGCATGCATGTGAAGCTTTGTGGGCCCAAAGGTCTCTGTTACAGATTAGAAACAACTGCTAAACATTCAGAAACTCTGGTGGCATGGTGGTTAAGAGCTACAGCAGCTAACCAAAAGGTCGGCAGTTTGAATCTACCAGGCGCTCCTTGAAAACCCTATAGGGAAGTTCTGCTTTGTCCTATAGGGTCGCTATGAATCAGAACGGACTGGACCGCAACGTGCTTGAGCTATATATTCAAACAATGGAATGCTGTATGACAGGAAAGCAGCCATACACAATACATAAACCAATTGGCATGAATGGATTCGTACCTCTGTCTCCACTTATCCAATCCATGAATTAGAGGAGAAAAGACATGATTATCTAAATCAAGGCTTTCAAACTACTGCCTGGGTACTCTACCGGCTTCTGTCCCAGCAGTCCAGGTTCCAACCTCAACCCAACCACCAGCCAGGGGTCCTAGGCTTTCAAAGCTTCAGTCCTTACAAGCCTCTGTACCACAGACACAGATCACTCCCACCCTCGCATTTATGCGAAATCTGGACCCGATGTCCATCCCCCCGTCCTCCCCCCGCGCCCCGCCAACATCGCTGAGCCTCATGTTAAATCCCGAACCCGACATCGCATTCATTATAAAGACCACCTCCACTCCTTAGAAGCAGAGTAAGCCGCAAAGATCCCCGTACCCTGATAGTCGGGACACCCTAATCTTAGTACAAAAGCGCTCATTCCATGTCTCACGCCTGTTAAATGTTCAAATTCAAGCCATAGATTACAGCTACTCTCTCAGTAATCTACAACATTTCCCAAAGCTACTTTTCGGAGCTGCGCACAATTTATGCCACGTGTCCTGGGTAAAGTCAGACCTCTTTCAAGAGATGATGTTGTTGTTGTGAGCAGTCATCGAGTAATGGCAACCCCAAGCATGGCAGAGTAGAACTGTGCTCCAGAAGAGTTTTCTTGGCTATAATCTCTAAGGAGCCCTGGTGGCGCAATGGTTAAGCGTTTGGCCGCTAACTGAAAGGTCGATAGTTGGACCCATCAATCCGCGGGGAATAAAAGAACTGGTGCTCGGCTCTTGTAAAGACTACAGCCAAGAAAACCTCAACGGGCAGTTCTACTGTCTTATGGGGTCAACTAGGAGTCCAAGTCAACTCCACTAAACACAAGAAACAAATCTTTACAGAAGTAGATCGCCAGGCCTTTTCTTCCCCAGAGCTGCTGGCTGGGTTCCAATCGCCGACCTTCAGGTTACCGCCACCTGCAAAACGCTTGCGCCACCCGGGAATGCACTACTTGGGATCTAAGAGACTGGTTTGTGTCAGTTTGACCGTTAAAAGTTTCTCTGACCCCGGTTGAGCGAAGCCAACCAATCATAAAGGAACCAATACCCCAAAGTAACCAATGAGTTTTCGTTCGCCGTTTTTTTTATAATCCCTCCCCCCAAGATGAAGACTTCTCCCTTAACCAATCCCTCAGAGCTTCTGTTAGCGCTTCCTTCGTTTTATTTTCCTCCGCCCCCTAACAACAATTTTACTGCCAGTTAGCTAGTAAATTATCTAGTTAATACACTGTGTTTAAAGAACTCTGTATTTTTTTCGTTTCTACACCCAAAAGGCACGGGACTCCCACCTGCTTGCCCCCAAACACTCCCACCCCGGGGTTGTACTCCGGAACTCCATGGGTCCTCACCACATCACGTCCACACACCTCCCTCGCCCTGTTCCGAGGACAAAACACACACTGGCCTGTTTTTCTCCTGAACCACGACTTCCCAAACGTTGCACTTATTTCCATTAAAGACTTCTATTGCTCGACCCCTCACCCAGAAACCACGTCCGCCTACGGCAGCCGGCGAGGGTCTATAACTTTTGAAGGACCGCGAACAATTGGATTTCCGGCACGGCCTTAGGAGGTAATAAGTCTGCCCCTTTCTTTCAGGAGGCGGCCATATCTGATACGTGCCGTACAGAAGGCAAAGTGACGTTGTTTTGTGCCAGTAGACAGGGAGGATCTGGAAGCCGAGAAAGCCGCGAAAACTGTCCGGTTTCCTGGCTCCTCGGCCCTTGCGGGAAAGGGATAAATTTTCGAGGCTCGAGCTTCACAAGGAACTCATGGTCCAAATTAAAATGCTTGCAGCAGGCTGGCAAAGAAATAATATGGCCGCGCCCTTTTACAATTTTTTATTTTTAAAAAAAGTTCGGAAACGTACAAATGGGAGTTAGGTGTCTGACAGCAGAGGCGTGCTCCTGGGAAGGGAAAAGACCCAAAAACAAAAAAAACCCCAAAACCAGTAAGCGTACAACCTTGGAAAGCTTCTGCAAGACAACAACTCGCAGGAAGCGGCTTTTAAAGACAGAAAAAGGTTTGGAGAAGCTGGAACGGTATAGACAAGGAGAAAGAGCAGGTGGGTGAGCCTAGGTTATATTTGGGCTGGGGACATAGGGGAAAGGCCACCAAAGGTGAAGGCAGTAAAGTTCTGAAGCCAATAGGAAAGTCGGAACAGAATTGTTCAGAAGGCAAGAACAGAATATAGAGTTCAAAAATATTAAGGTCGATAGCTTTTTGCCATCCTTTAGAATTTTCTGTAAGGAAGATTTGTCTTTTCTCCCATTTATTTAGTTATTCAGTATATTTTTAATATTAGTATAGATCATGCATATTTATCTTCTGCTTTGGATTATAATCCATAGCATCATTTATTTTGTTGGCAAATCATTCCAGCTTTAGCCATTGGGAGCTATTGCAGGTTGGCTCCTGTGTCCCTTTGACCAGCTCCCATTCTTTTGTTTTGGAAGCAATTCTTTCCTCTTTGTCACTTCAAGATGCTCCAGGCTCACCTTATTTTTTCCCTGTTGCAGCCCTAAAATCAGCCATTTCTCCATGGAGCCCTGGTTCCTTTTACTGGAGAGTGGTATTAAAAACTGAGAATTGGATAGGGGTAGGCTCATTGCTATCGGGGGTATCATTGTTTCTAGGTCCCCTCCGTGGACACGTCATGGACCAAATTTTGTCCCCCCAAAATATGTGTTGTAAATCCTAACCTCGATGCCTGTGGTTATAATCTCATATGAGAGTGGGTTGTCTTTGTTATGTTAATGAGGTAGGATTAGTGTAGGGTGTGTTTTGAGTCAATCTCTTTTGTGTGTGTGTGTGTTCAAATCCAGTTTTATTAAAATTGTTTTGCAATTTTGGTAGCAGTAGAAAGTCTTTGTGATCACTGGATATGTTAGACATGAGTTTATTTTGGTTTGTTGTGGGTTTAGACGATTGTACTTTCCTAAATCCTCTACCCTTTGTTTCATTATCGAATGGCAAAATGCTTTAAGTTTCTCTATCCACAACAACCTATTATCCATAAAAAAGGAATTTGTAAAATAAGATTGAAAAAATACAATCCACAGATTCAAAATATTCTCTTCAAATATTAAGAACATACAAAGTAAATTAAAGACATCTACATTTAGGCTTCCAGAAAGTAAGGCAGGCTATTTGATGCCTGTATTTTCTTGTTTTTACTTACTGCTAATTACAGTTCAGAGACCAAAGAGTTTCCAAAACCTATAAAACCCTCACTGACATTCCCAGTTCCAATGGAATTAGAGGATAGAATCAGGAAAGCAGTTGATTTTGGTCTTTAAAATCACAAAGAGTTTTTTCTTTAATGGGATTTTTCTTCTGCAGTAGCTCAGGATACTATTTGCATACTTATTGCCTTCTAATTAGCATCTGCCCTACAGTAGATCTAAGTATTGGCTTATTTAAGTGTATTACTGGACAGCAAATGATAAGAGGCCTTCTGTTCAACGCAAAATGTTCAGCGGAACCTAAGTAAAATTTCACAGGGTCTGGTGCTTCTTAGTTGTTCTTTAGTGAACCCAGAGTTGTAAATGGAGTCCTGATTCTCAATTTGCTATGAAATGTCATGGTGAGTTTGTTTTTATGTTCTGTTCTTTGATCAAAGGTATGGCACATATCGAAAGGTGCACTGTACAGGTGAAGGCTCACAGCAGGTTACGTGTGGCTGATATTCTCTACCTGATGTAAGCCAGTGGAATCGTTGATGTAAGCACACTGGTTTTCCCTCAAGATTCTTTCAGACTTCTTGATCATCTCATTGGACTTTTTGTCAGGCCAGGCAAATAGCGTCTCCTTCAGATTTCCCTGTAGCATCTTCAGAAAGCAGTGGGAGTCAGTGTGATCATGAATACGGCTGCCATGTCGTTCACCCCAACACAGAATCATCAGATTAAATTTTCTATTTCCTTGATCAACAAGATTTCGGGTATATCTGTACTGGTCAAACTTAGCATACACTGCACACTCGGCAGGGTCACTGTCGTAGGCTTCCATGACAGCCTGAGCCTCCTCCACATTGACCATGTTGCCAGCGAACAGCTAGTCTAGGATGCTGATCAGATCCACCAGGGTTTGTGGCTTTAGCACCTCGGTTTGCTCCATCCCCCCTAGAGCTGGCCCGTCTCACTGCTGGGCTGTGGTGGAGGCACTGAGTGAGCAGAGGAGCTAGGTGAGGCACTCTAGCTGCCAGCTAGACAGCTACAGATAAACACACACAAATCCCGCAGAATATCGAGTGCCAAAATGTAAAGAATCCCTCACTAAGATATCAAGAGCCCCTGGGCAGCGTGGCGAATCTGGGCTTGCTAAGGATGCACAGCACACACAAATCAAGACCAAATCTGCCTTGAGTCAATCTCTTTCAATTTATAAAAGAGATTAAACAAGTAAGCCAGCAAGCAGAGATACAGAAAGAGATACCAAGCCAAATGAAGATCATCCGGGAGGAGAAGCTCAAAAGAGACAAGGACCTTCCTCCAGAGCTGACAGAGAGAGAGCCTTCTCCTAGAGTTGGCACCCTGAGTTCAGACTTCTAGCCTCCTTTACTGTGAGAAAATAAGTTTCTGTTTGTTCAAGCCACCCATTGGTGGTATTTCTGTTATAGCAGTACTAGATAGCTACGATAGAATTTGGTATTGGAAGTGGGATGCTGCTCTAACAGATACCTAAAATGTGAAAGTAGTTATGGAATTGGGTAATGGCTGGGGGATGAAAGAGTTTTAAGGTGCCTAATAGTAAAAGCCTAGATTGCCTTGAAGAGACTGTTGGTAGAATTATGGATGTTAAAGGCAATTCTGATGAGGGCTCAGAGGAAGTGAGGAGAGCTACAGAGAAAGTCTCTGTCATCTTAGAGAATACATATGGCACAAGCAACAGAATGTTGCTAGACATGTGAACATTAAATGTGCTTCTGGTGAGGCTTTAAAAGAAAATAATGAACTTGTGATTGGACAATGGAGGAAAGGCAATGCTTTTTTTGCAGTGGCAAAAAACTTGTCTGAATTATGTTCAAATGTTTGGTGGAAGGTAGAAGTTGTGAGATTTCTAAGCAAGATCTTAAAGGAGCCACATGACTTCGCCTTGCTGCTTATAGTAAAATGTGAGAGGAAAGAGACGGATTTAAAAACGAACTGTGCAAAATTAAAACAGAACTTAAAGATTTGGAAAATTCTGTTGTACAAACTAAGAACATGTGTCCTGGAATGGCTACACAAGGACATGGCTACATGGTAAAGAGATTAAGCCTCTGACTGATAGATCTAACCAATTACTACAGCAGAACACCCAGCAGCTTAGACTGAAGGGGACAGAGAATGAAAGGAAAGAATGCTGTCTGCCTTTTGGAATTCTATAGGCAAGAAATAGGCCAAAGGAGCTACATCTGTTGTCTTTCAAGAAAAGAAAAGGACCATCCCTGGAGCAACTTGGAGATCAGCAGAGCTGCTGGAAGGAGTATGGCAAGCAGGATCTTCTTGGATTCAAAAGGTGGAACCATGGTATCCTGGATCTCAGGTGGGGCCACAGCCTCCAAGGTTTCAAAAAGTTGGATCTTCGCCAACTCAGTTCCAGAGTGTGGGGTTGTGCAGTGTGATGGATCACTCTTGTGTGGTCTTTCTAGCCATGGTCTTGCAACTCCCACCCAAGTAATTGGGCAGGACTGTGAGATAAGGTAATTTTAGCCTATCAAAGGGATTGGTCAGTTTGCCATCCCTCTGGGCTTGAAGTGAGCCTCCCAGAGGCAGGAAAGAGAAGATCCCATCACCATCAAGGAAGAACATCCAGGAGCCAGCATGTCCTTTGGACCTGGGATCCCTGCACTGAGAAGCTCCTGGAACCAGGAAAGAGAGAGCTGTAACACTGAAGACAGTGAGATCTGGCAGCTGAGGCCTGGAAGCAGGAGATGGCATAGTGGGCTTTCTGGCCCACGGATCGAGAATGCTGAGTGCCTTTGGGCAGAGGCCAAGGGCCAGGGAGAGGTATGCTTGTGAGCACAGCTGGGAAGAAGCTGTCCTGATGGAAGAAATGTATCCTGAGGGTTCTTGAACTTGAATTGTAACCCGTTACTTCCCTAATAAACCCATAATCATGGGCATGGTCTGTGAGTTTTGTGTGGTCATTGCAGTGAATTATCAAACCCAGCAGAGAAGTAGAGAGTGCCATGGGAAGAACTGTATCAGAATGGTAAAGGTGGTGGAGAGAGGAGGCATGTCTGACCCCCACCTCATAGGAGTCAGCCTTGGGATGTTGATCTTGATTCTCCTTCCCCCTTGTGAAGTTAGGAGGTCAGACACTGCCTCCATGCCATTTTTACAGGTTACTGTTAAGACATGCCAGTGAGATGGGGCTTGCTGGAGCTGAGGTGGTGGGGTGGCCACTCAGATGGACTTGGAGAATGGGGCTGCCCAAAGCTGAGGGAGCAGAGCTGTCATCCCAGTGGGTCTGGAAGGCAGAGTTGAGGGCCAGGGAAGAGGAGGAGCCTCCACCCAAAATCCAGACAGCATGGCCAACACCTAGAGGAGGGCAGGAGCATTGCCCAGATCGTCCCAAAGAACAATGGATTATTTTCAAGCCTTGAGAGCTAATGTAAATTGTGCTGCTGGGTTTTAGACTTGCATGGTGCCCATTATCCCTTCTTTCCATTCAGTTTCTCCCATTTGTAATAGAAATGTCTACCTTGTGTCTGTTCCACCATTGTACTTCGGAAACAGATAGCTTGTAGATTCACAGTTCACAGTTGAAGAGGAATTTTGCCCCAGGATGGAATACACCTAAAATCTCACCCATATTTGATTTAGAAGATGAGATTTTGGACTTGGAGTTGACTTAAAACTTTTGGGATGATGTGATGGGGTGAATGTGTTTTGCATGTGGCCACAACATGAATTTTGGGGATCCAAAGGGTAGAATGTTATAGATTGAATTGTGTCCCTGCAAAATGTGTTGTAAATCCTAACCTCTATGCACATAAAATTTTTTTATAACATATAGATATGTTTATAATGAGAAGTGATGAAATCAAATATGTTTTTAATAAAACTTTTATTTAGGAAAAGAATTAGATTTACACAAAAGTTGCAAAGATACTACGGAATTCCCATATAAAACCTTTCATTTTCCCCAATGGTTGAAGTGTCTTTGATGAGTATCCGAAACCACACCTGAAGGTTTATGACTTGTGTAGGGTGGAAGCTGACTATGCCGGGAAGACGCATTACATGATATCAACCTCCTGATATGAACCCTGTGATATCCACCAACCTAAGGAGGGGAGGGCTGCAGCTGAAATATGTAATGAGGCCGTCAGTAAAAGTTCTGGATACTGAAGATCCCTGGACTTCTTGGTTCATAAAAGACATCGATATAAGTGGGAGGATAGCACATCCCTTTTTGGGACATGGAAGTTCCACTTTGAGAACTGTTATGGATTGAATTGTGTTCCACAAAGGTATGTTTTAGAATGCTACCCCGGTACCCATGGATGTAATCTCATTTGGAAATAGGATGCTCTTTGTTATACTAATGAGGCTATATTAGTGTGTTGTTGTTAGATGCTGTCACTAGTCAGTTCCGGCTCATAGCGACCCTGTGTACAACAGAACAAAACACTTCCTGGTTCTGAAACTTCCTGACAATCATTGTTATTCTTGAGCCCATTGTTGCAGCCACCGTGTCAGTCCATCTCGTTGAGGGTCTTCGTCTTTTCTGCTGACCCTCTACTTTACCAAGCATGACATCCTTCTCCAGGGACTGATCCCTCCTGATAACATGTCTTAAGTATGTGAGATGAAATCTCACCATCCTTGCTTCTAAGGAGCATTCTGGCTGTACTTCTTCCAAGACAGATTTGTTCATTTTTTTTGCAGTCCATGGTATATTCAATATTCTTTGCCAACAGCACAATTTAAAGGAATCAATTCTTCTTCAGTCTTCCTTATTCATCGTCCAGGTTTCACATGCATATGAGGCAATTGAAAACACCATGGCTTGGGTCAGGCATCCATTAGTCTTCAAGGTGACATCTTTGCTTTTTTAAACACTTTAAAGAAGTCTTTTGCAGATTTGCCCAATGCAGTGCATCTTTTGATTACTTGACTGCTGCTTCTATGGCCATTGATTGTGGATCCAAGTAAAATGAAATCCTTGGCAACTTCAGACTTTTCTCTGTTTATCATGATGTTGCTTTTTGGTCCATTTGTGAGGATTTTTGTTTTCTTTATGTTGACGTGTAATCCATACTGAAGGCTGTGGTCTTTGATCTTTATAAGTAAGTGCTTCAAGTCCTCTTCACTTTGGCCCGCCAAGGGGATTGGACAGCTTGCTAATAATACAAATAAGGTGCATGGCACTCTTATGGGGGTGGGACCATGCAAAGAAGGTGTGTGGAACCCTAACAAGGGGATTGTTCAGTTTTCCATCCCACTAGGCTTAAAATGAGCCATCCCAGAGGCAAAAGTGGGGACTTGACTACTACTAAGAAGGAGAGACAGGAGTGGAGTGCATCCTTTGGATTTGGGATCCCTATGGCTGAGAACTTCCTAGGCCCAGGCAACAGAGTGAGAGGTGTAACACCAGAGACGGTGAGAAGCAGCTGCAGAGAAATGGTGGCAGCAGAACCAGGAGACCAGCAAGAGACAGCAGGGTGGGCATCCTGGCCCATGGAGAGAGAAAACTGAGCACGTTAGGGCAGGAGACTTTCTGGTGGAATAGGGTGCCTCAGGGAACTTGGTGGAGCTAGGTTCACTGACCGACCCAACAGAGAGAGCTGAGCACCTTCAGACATGAGGCTTGCTGGCTGAGTGGGGTGCCTCTAGGCACTTGTCAGTGGAACTAGGCTTGCCAACCCACAGAGCTAGAGCTGAGTGCCTTCAGGCCAAGGCTTACTGGCAAAGTGGTATGCTTCTGAGTACTTATCGGTGGAGCTAAAGAGCTTTGTAACACTTGCCTAAGAAGGGCAGAGGCTGGCCTGGCTCAGGAGGTTCAGGGCTGGAGGGGCTGAGGGCCAGGGAGAGGCCTGCCTGCGGCACAGCTGAGAAGAGGCTGTCCTGACTGAAGAACTGTATTCTAAGTATTCCTAAACTTGAATTGTAACCTGTTACTTCTCTAATACGCCCCATAACTGTGAGTATAGTCTGAGTTCTGTGTGGCCATTGCAATGAATTATCAAACCCAGCAGTGAAGTAGAGTGTCGTGGGAGGGATGGTTGGTGTCAGAAATAGTAAAAAATTTGGAGAAAGGAGGTATGTCTGACCTCCACTCCATAGGAAAAAGCCTCGGGCTGTTGATCTTCATTCTCCTTTAGCCTTGTGAAATTAGGGGAGGTCAGTCACCACCCTAATGCCATTTTTACAAGAACAGTAACTCAGTCTATAGTTGGAGGTGTGAGAATAGCCAAGACAGACACGACTCACACACACGAACTGGATGAAACAGTGCTTTACTCAACCAGAGAAAGGACAAAGCAAGGTCAGCTTCAGTAGTGGGCTTCTGACCCCCCACGGCCAGCATGTCACTCCCACAGCAGCTGCTGCAGGTATGATGGTCTGCACGCACACCCCCCCCCTTGTGATGCAGAAGACCTCCTTCCCTCCCCAACAGGAAAAGATATAGAAATGGGGTTATCCAGGTGCAATATAATGCACACATTTAGCAAAATGTTGACATATGCTTAGGACAAGAGGGGAGGATGAGCTGATAGGCCACCATCTGCTGTAGGATTTGTTTTGGGTCAAGATACCTAGGCAAGGGAGTTAGCCCACACTCTCATTCCTCCAAAGCAGCCAGGACGACACTTCTGGTCTTAAGCACAAAGTTCATTTGTAGCTCACAGGGAAAGCCAGCAGGCTGTTCTCAGACTGCCCCCTACACATATACTTTGGACTGTAATCTGATAGCATCATTATTATGTTACTAAAATTATTCCAGCTTTAGCCATTGAGTGCTATTTCAGGTTGGTGCCTTGTATCTTTGACATGCCCCCATCCTTTCCTTTTTTAAGCAATTCTTTACTGTCACTTCAAGATGTTTCATGCTAATCTTGTATTCTACCTGTCCCAGCCCTAGAATCACTCATTTCTCCAAAGAGTTCTGATTCCTTTCGGTGGAGACTGGTATTTAGAAGCCAAGATTTGGACAGGAGTGTGCTTACAGCTACTGGGGTGTCATTGCATCTAGGTCCTCCCAGTGAAGATAGCTAATAACCCATATATACACTCATCTATAAGTATTTCTGTATCTGCCTAATAAGATATATACTAAAGTAAATATGAGTTTATACTGTTATATTCCACTCTAATCCAGCACCATAAGGTTCATTATACACTTTCCTCCCAGGTTAGTTGTGGCTTCTTTCTCTGAGGGAAAAATCTGGCTACTGTTATCTAAAATTGATTTATTTATCTCTTCAACCCTAGTATATATTTAAAATAGTTTCAGGATCACTATTCCATGCCTCAAGAAAGTTTCTGGGTGACAATTCCATTCTGTAAACTACTTTCCAATGGCTCATTCACTTCAATGACATAACACAGATTAGTTTATGGTTCACTCATTCACTTTGCAAATCAATATATTAGTTTTCTGTGTGCTAGGAAATATAAAATGATGTAAACCAATGCTCTCCAATATAACCTTCTATAATGATAGAAATAATGGGCATTTCTCTCAATATATACCTACCAGCCATATGAAGAGCTACAAAGTCTTGCTCATTATGTGCAATGTCCAAACTGTTAGGCAACAGTCACATATGGGACTGAACACTTCAAATATGGCTAATGCCATAAGAAAGTAAAGCTTAATTTTGTTTTCTATTTTAACTTTGAAATTTAAATATTCACAAGAACTATAAAGAAATTTATAATCTACTGAGGGAGAAAGATACGAGCATGTTAAAAAAAAAAAAAAATTTGTTTCCTAGGTTGTTTTAGTACCATTACAGGGAGTCCTTACCCCAGGAGTGAGTGGGTGGGACAAATAGTGAAAACATTCAGCTGCCAATCAAAAGGTTGGAGGTTCGAATCCACCCACAGATGCTTCAGAAGAAAGGTCTGACAATCTGCTTCCAAAAGTCAGTCATTGAAAAGCCTTTGGAGCACAGTTCTAATCTGACACACATGGGATCACCGTAAGTTGGATTCAATTGGATAGCAACTGGTTTTTCAAGAAGAAATTATCATAAAAAGTTGTTAGGACTTTCTAACTCCTAAAAATCTAACTAAACTCCTTATAGCAATTACTCTGTGTCTATTTCATCTAAAGTAGATAATGTATGCTTTGACTAGATTCGCTGGAGGGTAACATTTTCTGCGACATAAAATAAGACATAATTGATCACTGAAGGCACTACCACATTCACTGAATTAGCAAGGTTTCTCTCCTGTACAAATTCTCTGTTAGTGCCTGAGGGTTCACATCTGGCAATGGGCTGTCCCACAAGGACTATGTTCCTATTTGTTAGGAGTCCATTGCTGTTTAATGAAGACTGAGATGCCACAAAAGGCATTTGTATAGTCATTGTATTAACAGGGTTTTTATCATGCATGAGATCACTGGTATGTGATGAGCTGTGACTCACTGCAGAAGGGTCTTCCACCTTGTCTGAATCTACACGTTTCTCGCCTGTGTGTATTAATTTATGATTAAAACGATCAAGCATGGAGGCAAATTTTTGTCCACACACGTTGCAGACATAGGGTCTCTTCCTTGTATGAATTCTTTCATGTAAATTTAGTTGTTTCTTTTGGTTGAAGGCTTTCCCACATTCAATGCATTGAAAGCATTTCTCTACTTTATGCATTTTCTGATGTATATTGAGCACTGATTTCTTAAGAAGAACTGTGTCATAGTCTGTGCCTTCATAGGACGACTGTCTATGAATTCGCTGATGAGCAATAAGACTTAACTCACGGCTGAAGCATTTTCCACATTCACTGCATATACAGGGTTTCTCTACAGTATGAGTTTTCTGATGCATATTGAGTCCTGATTTTGTGATAAATGATTTGCCACATTCTGTGCATTCATAAGGTTTTTCTCCTGTGTGAGCTTTCTGATGGTTAGTGAGCATGAACTTTCGGGAGAAGGTTTTCCCACATAGACTGCATCTATGGGGTTTCTCTACTGTATGAATTTTCTGATGCATATTGAGGTCTGATTTCATGGTAAATGCCTTTTCACATTCTGTGCTTTTATAAGGTTTTTCTACTGTGTGAGCTCTTTGATGTTCAGTGAGCATGTACTTTTTAGAGAAGGCTTTCCCACATGGACTGCATCTATGAGGTTTCTTACCTGTATGAATCATCTCATGATTCATGAGCACAGACTTCCAGAAAAAGGCTTTCCCACATTCACTACATACATGCGGTTTGTCTATCTTGTGAGATTTCTGGTGCTTAATGACTTGGGACTTCATGGTTTTTGATTTTCGACAGAGAATTTAAATTCAGTATGAAATTGCTCATGGTTCGCATATAGAAATATTTTCTCATCTCTATTAAACTTAGCAGAGTTCTTTATTCCATATTTTCTGCTCTGGTTTATTAATGTTAAAATTGATTTCACAGTTTTTCCACGTAAGTCAAACATACTATGATTTTGCCTTAAAGCAAAATGACTTTTGTGCCAATGAATAATAGTTTCAAATGCATTATCTTCATGGCATTGTTCCATTCTATTCACCCTGCTTTCATTTTGAATGTTCCCCAGCAGATGATCACTAACTTCCTGGATTTCTAGAAAAGAACAGAACAATGAGTCCTTCCATCATCTTGATTTGAAATAAAGCTATTTTTAAAAATGCTTTGATGTGAGATGGCTCTTTAGTGACAATTCTATAAGTATAACTAAAACTCCATGTTTAATGTTCCTTGCGCACTGGTGAAAAACACAACAATCTAAACAACCCAAAAGGTAAAAGCAGTTAGTGTGGAAAAAAGGTGAGATATTTGGCTGTTCCTCAAACATACAGAGAAAAACATAATATAGTCTGTAAAATACAAGGAAGTCTTTCTGACCATCAGACTACAGAGGTTGGAGGGCCACCTGATCCAAATGGGGAAGAACAAATTAATTCCACAAATCCTTACTGAATGACAACTATGTACCAGGCACAGTCTAGTGTTGGGGATACACAAACATATTCCTTGTGCTTATGGGGCCTACATTTTAGTTTGGTAAAACAACCTAAGGAAAAAAAGCAAGGGAAGACGTAAGGTTTACAATTAATGTCACCCAAACAACTTGGTCTTTGAGGGATATTGTTCCTGAGTGATAACTATAAACTCTTGGATTTTCTTGAGTAATTGGGTGCATTTGTTACATATAGTTCTCCAGAATGGACTTGACAGATTATGCTAATGAAGTGACTAAGGTGGGGTTAGCCAGGGGCGGTGCAGTGAATTACTTAATATGGCCCTTTTTGCCATGTATGGTCTTGTGACTCCCACAAAATGATTGGGTGGGACTATGCAAATAGGGTGCTTACAGCCCACCAAGGGGATTATACAGCCTTCTAATAATGCGAATAAGGAATATGGAATGCAGGTGAGGGTGGGACCATGCAAATAAGTTGTACGGAATCCTAACGAGGGGATTGGTCACTTTTGCCATCCTGCTAGGCTTAAAATTAGCCACCCCAAAGGCAGGAAGAGGGAACTTTAATACCATCAAGAAGGAAGAGCCAGGAGTGGGGCACATCTTTTGCACCCGGGGTCATTGCGCTGAGAACGTCCTAGACCCAGAAAAGAGAGAGAAAGAGAACTGTAACATCAGAGACAGCACGAGACAGCAAGAAGCCGCAGCCAAGAAACAGCAGCAGCAGAACCAGGGGACCAGCATGAGATGGAAGCCCACAGAGCAGGTGCCTACAGTGTGCGTGCCAACCCATGGAGCAAGAGAGCTGAGAACCTTCCGACAGGTGCTTCTTGGCAGAGTAGGGTGCCTCTGGGCCCTTGTTGCAAGGTGGCTACAGTGGGTGTGCTGACCCATTGAATGAGAGAGCTGAGAGCCTTAGCATAGGAGGCTTCCTGGTGACGTGTTGTTCCCCCAGCACTTAGTGGGGCTAGGCTCACTGACCAATGAAGTGAGAGAGCTGAGTGCCTTTGGGCAGGAGGCTTCCTGGCAGAGTGGGGTGCCCCTGGGCACTTAGCAGAGCTAAAGAGCTTTGTAACACTTGCCTGAGCAGTGCAGGCACCAGCGGGGGAGTGAGGGCCAAGAGGAAGCCTCTCCTGAAGGGGCCGAGAGGAGCCTGTCCTGAGGGGCGCAAGAAGAGCCCTGCGCAGCCAAGAGGAGCTGGGATAGCCGTCGTGCACTGAAGAAGGGAGACTTTCCCTACATGCTTCCTGTTCCTGATACTGAGTTGTAACCTGTTGATCCTGATCCTGAGTTGTAGCTTATTTCCCTAATAAACCCCATAATCATGAGTATTGTCTGTGAGTTCTATGTGGCCAGTGCAATGAATTATCAAACCTAGCAGAGAAGTAGAGAGTGCCGTAGGAGGGATAGTATCAAACCTAGTAGAGAAATAGAGAATGCTGTAGGAGCAACAGCTGGTGTTAGAATTGGAAAAACGTTTGAAGGTAGACTTATGTTTGACCTCCACCTCATAGGAATCAGCCTTGGACTGATGCTGATGGTGATTCTCCCCACTCCTGAAGTTAAAGGAGGTCAGACTCCACTGCCGCCATTTTTACACCAGGCCTGAAAAACCACCTGACCACAGGGAGGTAGGCTGATTCAATCACACCTACATAATGAGGCCCCAGTAAAGGCTCTGGACATAGAAGCTCCACTGCTTCCTAGTTGGTGAAAGACACTGATGCAAGTCTTTTTGGGAAATGGAAGCTCCATATTGGAAACCCTCCCAAACATCTCCATATGTGTCTCTTCATTTGCATCCTTTTGCTACAACAAAACTGTAATCCTAAGTATAGCACTGTCCTAAGTTGTCCTAGTGACATATCAAGCTCAAGGTAATAGTAGAAACAAGCAGGTCAGAAGTAAAGGGAACCCCTGAGCTTAGGCTGGTATCTTGAAGAGGTGGAGGGTACCCCAGAACGTGTAGCCAGTAGGTCAGAACTGAGGGATCCTGAGAGGCCCCAGAGCTTTGAGGTGACATTATGAAGAGGTAGTGGGAAAACTGAATCTGCAGCCAGGAGATTGGAAGTGAGGGGAGTCTTGGGGATTCCCAAGCTTGCAGCTGACATCTGAATCTTGGGCCAACCTGGCAGTCTAGAGAACTATGTCCTCTAACTTGTGAACCCTGACCGAGTTTCAGGTGATTAGGAGAAGAAGTGTTGCATGGGCAGCTGGTATCAGAATTTAACAGAGAAGTTTTAAGTGGAGAATTTTGATTTATGAAGACATAAAGAAGCTCAAGAGTACGAAAAGTAGTTTGAAGGAGGAGGATGGGGAGAGGTGCAGGAAATCAGGATATATTTTAGAGGAAGAGAAGGCTCACTGATGAATTCATTGTTGCCTGGTGAGGGTGGGAGGAGGAAACCAAACTGAGGAATCAAGCATTACTCCTAGTATTTGGCATGAGGTAGTAATGGCTTTTAGCGAGATGAGGAATATCCTTGAAATACAGGATGTGGGGAGAATCAAGTAAACATTCTGAAGCATATCAACTTTAAGATGGTTATTATATATCCCAGTACAGAAATGAAGATATCTGAGCAGGCCTGTCCTTGGGGGGCCAAGAGGAGCCTGTCCTCAGGGGGCTGGAGAGAAGCCCTGCATGGCCCAGAGGCAGCATGCATGGTAGAGAGAAGGGCCTGCTTGCTTGCATGGCCAAGAGGACCTGAGACAGATGTCCTGCATTGAAGAAGGGAGGGATGTGCCCTCCATTTCAAAGGAGACTTCCAGACTTTGCCTACATGCTTCCTGATCCTGATCCTGAGCTATACCGTTACTTCCTTAATAAACCACTTAACTGTAAGTATGTAAGTATTACATTGGGCAAATTTGCTGCAAAAGACCTCTTTAAAGTGTTAAAAAGCAAAGATGTCACTTTGAGGCCTAAGATGCACCTGACCCAAGCCATGGTATTTTCAGTCGCCTCATATGAATGTGAAAGCTAGACAATGAATAAGGAAGACCGAAAAAGAATTGATGCCTTTGAATTATGGTGTTGGTGAAGAATATTGAATATACCCTGGACTGCCAAAAGAATGAACAAATCTGTCTTGGAAGAAGTACAGCTAGAATGCTCCTTAGAAGCAAGGATGGTGAGAGACTTCATCTCAGATACTTTGGACATGTTATCAGGAGGGATCAGTCCCTGGAAAAGGACATCATGCTTGGTAAAGTACAAGGTCAGCAAAAGAGAGGAAGACCTTCAAAGGAGATGGACTGACACAGTGGCTGCAACAGTGGGCTCAAACACAGCAATGATTGTGAGGATGGCGCAGGACCAGGTAGTGTTTCATTCTGTTGTACATAAGGGTTGCTATGAGCCAGAACCAACTCGACAGCACCTAACAACGACAACAGTGGTCTGTGAGTTCTTTGTGGACATTGCAACAAACTATTGAACCCAGCAGAGACGAAGAGAGTGTCGTGGGGCAGGACAGTTGGTGTCAGAATCGGTAAAGAAAAAAGGTTGAAGAGTGGAGATATTTCTGACCATCTCATGGGAATCAGCTTTGGGCTGATCTTGATTCTCATTCCTCCTCCAGAATTTAGACAGGTTCTGACAGTACTACCACAATAGACAGGTTGTGAAGATACTACTACCACCATAATATAAGAACAGATGAGAAAATGGAAATTGAACCTTTGGAGAACCTCAGAGTAATGGAAAATAGAAGCTGAGGAAATACATAAAGCCACAGTGAGAGACCAGTTTACTGTGGGGGCACAACATCTAAAGTGGATTGGATGTGAGGAAAGGAAATCAGTATTACCCAATGGGGGAGGAAATGTGCTGTATTCAGTAGACGGTTATAAACTTAAAGTTCGCTCTTTGAACAGTGGAATTTCAAAGCAAGGGAGGTGGAAGGACGTGAAGAAGAAGGGAAAGATTTCAAACTACTAGAAAGAAGAGAACTATACAAAGAAAAATATCAAGATGTAGAACAAATAAGGATCTGATCTAAGAAGAGGAAAAGGATATATTTTTTTCTAAACTCAACAAAGAAAAAGAGGTTCCATATGGGAGACAGATACGTGGTGGCACTGTTATGTACCTTCAGACACCCTTCATAGCTGTGACGCCTTCTCTCACTAGAATGTGACTTCCACAGCCTTCCCCCCTTGATGGTTTTCGTTTGCTTACCTGAAAAGTTTTGACTATGGATTTCGTCTTCTAAACTCCATGGTGGTTCTCGTTCCAACCTGAAGAGCACATCTGGTTTGCCGACTTGACACCCTGTTCGTGGGAAATCAAAGAATTCTAGACTCATCAAATTGGGCTTGGATTTGTGAAGACTGCAGAATGTTACATTTGGGACAAAACGATTTCCACATGTACACAGTAAAGGTTTTCCTCTCAGAAGTAGGGAGTATATTCACTTATCTAGGGCCAGAAATTAGACTGAGAATCTACCATTTGAGAGGCCCACAGACACTCTAAAAGTTTCAGCAGCTGAGAAAGGAAAAGGCCAATGACAGGCATTCTGAGTAGCAAGGTGTCCTCACCCACAGACACGAGGTTATGAAAGTTCTCCAACATCACTTCCCTGTACAGGTCCTTCTGAGCAGGGTCCAGGAGCTGCCACTCCTCCCAGGCGAACTCCACAGCCACATCGTTGAATTCCAGTGATACCTGTTACAACAGGGTCCGTTTAGTGAAGTGATTTCCTCTTGATGATATAAATGAAATGCAAAGGAAGTTGTTCTGCTCATTTCTTTTATACAGGCAGTATCTATATACTTAATGTTGTTTTTTAAGATACCTTATAAAAAAATAAAAATTGTAACAAAATATTCTGTAATTGTGCATTCAATCATCCATCCATACATCAAATGAGATGTTTCTATAATGTGGAGCAATTAAATCCTCTTGGTAACCTAGGAACATCTTACATTCACATATATATACTTAAACACACACATATGTGTATATGTCTGTATATGTGTAAGTATGTGTTTGCATATTTAGCCATCTATTTGCTAAGTAATAAACATAATGCAAGTGACTTCCGGGAGAATAAAACATGTTCCTACATTCAACATGAGCCTTCACAACCAATATCAGAATCTGTAGCAAAAATACCCTAGATAGCAGAATTACAAGAAACTATATATTTAATAACTATGTTTACTATGATGAAAAGAATGAAAGAAACTATCAAATATATTTAAAGAACAAGAAACAAGATGATTAGGTGGATTTGGGGAAAATTATACACACATGTATGCACATATATTAACAGATCTATTAACAGCATATTAAATACATGAAACAGCTGTAATGTACAATTGATGAAATTACACAAAATGTAGCAGAGACAGAGACAATAAAAAGAAGAGGCTAGTAAACATGCATAGACTGAGCATATCTAACATATGCCTATCCATAATTTCTGAATTATGCTTCTTCCTTCAGAATATGGACAGGTACCAAGCGAGAAGCAGCAGCAATATGCTCTACACACTCAAAAATAATTTCTTACTGAATGAAAGACCTGTAGCAGGCAGGTCCTAAGATGACCCAAAGATCGTCACCTTTCCAGTATTCACACCTATGTACAGTCCCCTCTCCTTGAACATGGGAGAGACTAGTGACTTCCTCGTATCTAACAGAAAATAGTAAATGTGATGGAATATAAGGTAGGACTACCAGTAATAGTACCTTCAAAACCTATCTAACTTTAGGGAGGATGATGGCCAGGATCAGCCCAAAGCTGATTCCTATGAGGTAGAGGTCTGACATACCTCCATTCTCCAATGTTTTTATCAATTCTGACACCAGCTGCCTGTGGTGTGATGGATCCCTTTTATTCGGCCTTTCTCGCCATGGTCTTGTAACTCCCACCAAATGACTGGGTGAGGCTAGGCATATGAGGTGCTTGTGGCCCACCAAGGGGATTGGATAGCTTGCTAATAATGTAAATGAGGTGCATGGGACCCTTGTGGGGGTGGGACCTTGCAAATAAGGTGTATGGAACCCCAACAAAGGGACTGGTCAGTTTTGCCATCCCACTAGGCTTAATGGGAGACACAGAGAGAGAGGAGCTGTAACACAGAAAAATGACAGCACCACAGCAATAGCTGTGCAAAACAGCAAGAACCAGGAGACCGGCATGAGCCAGCTGCAGTGGGGTTTGCTAACCATGGAGCTAAGAGTTGCAGCAAGACCCCAGCAGGGCCCGATGGCAAAGGGTGAGAAGAAACTGTCCTGATCAAAGAACTGCATCCGGAGTTATTCCCATTACTTCCAAGTTGATCCTGATCCTGAGTTGTACCCTGTTACTTCCCTAATAAACCACTTAACTGTAAGAGTGGTCTGTGAGTTGTGTGTGACATTGAAGTGAATTACTGAACCCAAAGACAGAAGGGACAGTACTGAGAGGAGGGAGAGTAGCTGATGTTAGAGATGATGGAGTGGTAGAGCAGTTTGGAAAAGGTGGACATTTAAGACATCTTTAACCTCCACCTCATAAGAACCAGCTTTGTGCTGATCCTTATAAAAGAAATTATTCATCTACCATCCGTCCCTCCCACGGCACTCTCTACTTCACTGCTGGCTTCGATAATCTTTTGCAATGGCCACTCACAGACCATACTTAGAGTTAAGTGATTTATTAAGGAAGTAACAAGGTACAACTGAGGATCAGAACCAGGAAGCACGCAGGTAGTGTCCTTTCTATGCAGCACAGCTCTCTCAGCTCCTCTCAGCCACGCAGGCCTCCTCCTAGACCCCTCAGGACAAGCTTCTTCTCAGCCCCCTCAGGACAGGCTTCTTCTCAGCCCTCTGAGGACAGGCTCCTCTTGGCCCTCTCAGGACAGGCTCCTAAATTTAGGCCCCTTCACAAAGTCTTTTCTTGGCCCTGCAGTCCGTCACCACTGACTCTGCCACAGAGCCCCTTCCAGGCCTGTTGCTGCCAGCTCTGCCACTGTGTCCCTTCCGGGCCTCTCGCTGTCTTCAGTGTTACAGCCCTTGACCCGTGTTACATCTCTTCCTTGCCTGCTCTCTCTCTGCTTCTTCTGTTTTTTCTTCCTTCTTGCTCCTTCCTGCTGCTTCTCTTCCTGTTTCTTTCTGTCTGAAACCTCTGTGGTGTTGGCCACTTATATCTAATACTCTTTGTCAATTTCAAGGCATAACCTTCCCACCAGGGCCACGAACTGACCCATCCCCTCAGTAGGCCGCAGACACTTTATTTGCATACTAGGCTACAAATACTTAAAGTCTATAGTTACTTCATTTGCATACTCTATTGACCAATCCCTGCAGGGTGCATACCAATCACAGGGTCAGGGAAAAATATCAAACTATCCTTGTTGACACCTTACCCAAGAAATGTCAATCAACCTGCACAAAAGTAACAAACACTCTGGGGTATAAAACTAGGGCAAAGGTAGCTCCTCAGGGTTTAGGGGAATAATCTCTGAAGCTGTTTTTCCAAAGAACCAAAGCAAAAGGCTACATAAAGAAACTCATTTCACCACAGAATGGCACTTCCATGATTAGATTACATATTAGCTGTTACTGCCACCTTACTGGTTTTCATGAAGCAAGTTGCTATTTTGGGGAAGTTCATGTGGCAAGTAACTGAGGGCTGCTTCTGGGGAACACACAGTGAGGAATTGAGGCCCTCTGTAAAACAAGCCTCGTGGAACTGATATCTTCCCACAATCTCCTCAGTGAGATTGAAAGCAGACCCCTCCCCATTCAAGCAGCCTGGTGAGACACCACAAAACAAAGCAGCAACAGAAACCGTGCCCATATTCCTGACCACAGAAGCTGCAAAATGACAAATGTGTACTGTTTTAAGCCTCTAAAAATTTGAGATACTCTGCAAGAAGCAATAGCTAAGTCATTGTAATGCTGTGAAATGAATCATCTACATTCACAAGGGATAAGAATCAGGATCAGCACATAGCTGGTTCCTAAAAGGTAGAGGTCAGACATAACCTCTGCTCGCCAAGATTTTTTTTACCAATTCTTACACCAGCCACCCTCCCAGCCCCCCATGGCACTCTCTACTTCTCTTCTGGGTTCGATAATTTGTTGCAATAGCCACACACAACTCACAGAACATACTCACAGTTATGTGGTTTGTTATGGAAGTTAACAGGCTACAAGTTGGGATCAGGATCAACTTGGAAGTAACAGGAACAACTTGGGATTTGGATCAGAAAACATATAGGCAAGGTCTGGAAGGTTCACCTGAAGTGGAGAGCACATTCCTCCCTTCTTCAGTATAGGACAGCTTCCAATCAGGACAGTGCTCTCAGCTGCTGTCTGCCATCATGCCTCTCTGCTAACTGGCCCAGCTCATAGCAGTTTAACAGGCCCTTCTAAGCTGCATAAGCAGGCCCTTCCCATCCGTAACGTTCTAGTACTGCAAGCGTCAGACCTCATCTAACTTCAGGGTGAATAATGAGAATTACCAACAACACAAAGCTGATGGCAATTCGTATGAGGTGGAGGTCAGAAATACCTCCATCTCTAAACTTTTTACCAATTCTGACACCAGCCTTCCTCCCAACAGCACTCTCTACTTCTCTGCTGGGTTCGATAATTTGTCGCAATGGCCACACAGAACTCACAGACCATACTTAAAGTTAAGTGGTTTATTAAGAAAGTAACAGGGTACAACTTGGGATCAGGATCAGGAAGCACGTAGGGAAAGTCTCCCTTCTTCGGTGCAGGACAGCTCTCTCAGCTCCTCTCGGCTATGCAAGCAAGTAGGCCCCTCTCTCTGCCATGCATGCTCCCTCTCAGCTATGCAGGCCTCCTCTCAGTCCCCTGAGGACAGGCCTCCTCTTGACCTCCTGAAGATAGGACTACTCTTACCCATCTCAGAAACAGGCCTCTCTGTCTTCAGCCTCTCCACAGCTAACTAACCCAGCTCATAGACAGAGTAGCAGGTTTGTTCAGTTCTCTTAGCTGCATTTCTAGCAGCAGGTTTCTGCCATCTCTACCGACTCTACCACCACCACCGACTCTGCCACAGGGCCCCTACTGGGCCTGTCACTGCTGGCTCTGCTGCGGGGCCCCGTCAGGCCTGTTGCTGCAGGGCTTCTTTCAGGCCTCTCGCTGTCTTCAGTGTTAAAGCCCTTTACCTGTATTATAGCTATTTTAGGAGGTTCCTCACCTCCTCTCTCTCTGCTTCTTCTCTCTTTTTGCCTCTCTTGCCTTTTCTCCTTTCTGCTTCTCCCTGCTTCTGAAATCTCTGTGGGGTTGGCTTCATACATAATAAAAATCCTTGTCAATTTCAAGGCCTGGCCCTCCCACCAGGGCCACGAACTGACCAATCCCCTCTGTGTAGGCTACAGTCACTTCATTTGCATAGTAGGCTATAGTCATTTCATCTGCATAACAGGCTACAGTCAATTCATCTGCATAGTCTACAGTCACTTAATTTGCATAGTATATTTGCAAGGTGCATACCAATCATAGGGCAGGATGCAGCCAAGGTAAGACAAAAATTATTAAACATCGAGTTGTTTACAGCTTGCCCAGGAAATGTCAATCAAAAGTAACAAACCTTTGGGGGTAGAAAACTAGGGCAAAGGTAACTGCTCAGGGCTTAAGAGAAAAATTCTCAAGCTATTTTTCCAAAGAACCAAGGCAAAAGGCCACACAAAGGAACCCAC